GTGGACATTGTTAGGGCAGTGGAGGACTCAGGGTACCAGTGTTCTGATGAGCACTGGTGCAGGGCAGAGTGAGGGTTATAATGGGATCAGCCTATGCAGAAAGAGAAAATAGCACAGCTGAGTGAAGCAGGTGCCTACTGATGCATTTTACATGGAGCATAGAAAAGATCAGCTCTGGACTGGTTGATTAGGGTAATGTGTAGAGCTAGTGCTTCTAGCTGCAGAGCACAGACCCAGCTCAGCAGCAGCTTGGCCACCTTCACCATGGATGCTTCACAGTAGAGGCTTCTTGCATCCAGAAGACACGGGAAGAAACCAGGAGCTCATGCTTGTTTCAGTGAGGGACTCAATCGAAGAGGAAACCAAGTTGTAAGCAGTGCTGTGTCGCTCTAAGGCTGGTGAGCAGTGGGGCTGCCCTTCATACATTGGGGAAGCGTTCAGTGCTCTGTTCCACCAACATAAACCTCCGCACTGTCAGCTACGGCATCTTTGCTTGCCTCTGAAAACGGGAGTCATGTTCCAAAGCCACAGCAAACCTGCGTTTCATGGTACACACCCAATTTGGCCACAAACAAGGTGAAAGCATACTTTTTTTTTTTTGCTTAGCTTTCAATGCAAAAGGAAAAATAGACCTTTTCACCTTAATATCATCTCTATCAGCGCTGGAAAAGATGTTTAAAACAGTCCCACTAATGGTGAACTGGCTGGTCCGCACTTGGCAGATGCATTGTGTTTCCAGTCGGATTTTTGGTGCAGGGGGTGTAAGTTGGCTGCCTGTGTCGTCATCTTGTGTAAGGGTTGTGAAAAGACCACCATCTGCCCCTGTAGCGCACAGATCCGTCTTCCTTAGCTGGCAGAGAGCTGGACAGCAGCTGCCCCGGTCATGTCAGTGGTGCAATAATCCTGACTGTAATGTGGGCTAGTGCCTTTTCTTCTTTATTAATTATATTTATGAAGAAAACTTGACAGTTTCTTCTCAAGAGCTCTGAGGGGCTTGAGTTGTATATTTTTGGATCAAATTCAGGCCTTGCTCAGAAGGAAATACTGTGCAGACTACTTGTGGGATTCTGTGAATACAGATCTTTTGACAAAATCTAGTGGAGTTTTACTGAGATTTCAAAGCACCTTGAATTTCTTCTCACTAGGAAAAAAAATGTATTTTTACCATGCATGAGAGCATAACGTTTTAGGATATACCTTGTGCTAGTTAAAATGTAATCATGAAACAACCAAACTTTTCCCAAAGTTTAAACTCTCTCAAATTTTGTCTGCTTAAATGCCTGTTTCATTTGGAAATGGAGAGAAAAGCTAATTCTTAGAATCACAGAAAGAGCAGCATTTTAATACCTTAGGCAGAGAAACAACAGCAGAAAATATTAAAAAACTAAACCCCAAACCTCTTTCATGTTCTCTTCATGTAAGTACGCAGAAAAGGCTCATCCCAATGTATTTGACTGTAACTTTTAATTCTGTCACTGATGATAATGTTACCAAATATCTGTGCCCAGCCCAATGCTCTCTGATACCTGACAGGGCTGCAGTGTGGCCTCTGTTTGGTACAGGACTGATGCATAAATACACTCTTCTTTCTGAGTAAACTGTGACAAACCTTGCACCAGGAGAGTGGCAGATGTTAATGCAAATCAGGTCTGTATTCCTTGCACTGATGTGGAAAATCCAATGTGTCCTGCCCAGTCTGAACCAGTAGCATTGCATGGAGAGTTGGCATCGCCACAGGGAGTTAGTCATGAATGGCTCTACCTAGCTCAGTGGGGAAGGACTAAGTAACATAAAGCTCTGCAATGCAGCATGCAGATTTCTGAGCTGCACTTCTTCACGGTAGTGGCAGAATGGAATGCAAGGAATTAATATTTAGCCTTTTCCTCCAGTTCCATTTCTCATTTTGAAGCAGAAAGGGAGTTTACAGCCAGCTCCTATTTTCTATGGGTGTGAACTGTCATGGCAGAACACAGCTTGTTCTCTTGCACTAGGTGAGAGTCCACGGCGTTCTCTGTTTAAGCTGATATTATGAACTGTTTGTCTTACTCTGGGCAGCACAACCTGAGCGCTTCCCTCCGCCACCACCTTTTGTTTTCCTGCCTCCCTAGAGGCAGCAAGCTTCTCCTTTGTCTTCCTCACCTTATTTATTAACACCACCTTAGATTTCAAGCTGCCTAGGTGCACTGCTGCAGATGGAACAGATATAAAGGAGCAAGTCTAGTGGAGGACTCACAGCAGGGGGTAGAAAGTGTTTTCCCAGTTCTCTTCCTGTTCTCCAGTCTCTTCCCTGATCTTTGTGTGTGGTTCTTGCACAGATACATGATCTCCTCAGGGCCACATCACTAAGAATGTCCCATTCGTTAACAGACTTGCTATTTGAGAGAGATTATCAGCTTGGGGTCATCAGGCTCTCACGTCCCTGCTGAGCAATGCCAGACCTGCCACGCTCCATGTGGCCACCATCAGGCTAGGCTGGTGAGATGGTTTGTCCATCTCTTCAGTAATTGTGGCCCTGCTGATGAGTGTGCTCGCTGAGAACGGGTAATTAGAATACTCAGGCACTGACCTGTCTGCCCTGTCCTGTCCAGAAAGGCTTCTGCAAAAGGAACCTATGAAGGTTATATTCAGTGGCAAGTAGTTGGGGCCCAAGTATTAAGGATAAGGGACAGCCTCCAAGTTGCTCCCAGCACCAGGAACAGGCCTGGCCGGAAGCAGCACCACAGATTGCTGGAATCTAATCAGAATCCTCAACTAGATGGGAAGGTAAAATCCTGTTCCGAGAAGGAGCAAGTATTTCCCTTTCTCGGGGACAGGCTGATGTGAGGCCTGAAATCCTTCTCTTGGGACACAGGACATTCAGCCACACCTAAGGCCCTTGGAGGAGTTTCTGCACTCCTTCTGGATGATGATGGCTTTCGTGTCACTTGCCAAAGGCCTTCTTCAAGCTATGCGGTCTCCTCCTTGGTTTTGTGCAATCACTGTCTGCTGTTCCATTGCTGTCTGAAGGCTCAAGTCTATTTTTTCCTCTTTTTTCATGTTTTAAAATATTACCTTTTTTTTAACTTGACTCATATGACCCAGCGCATGTTAAAGAAATATTGCAGTGCACCAACTGTTTATTAAATAACCTTTTTTCATGGTTTTTGTTTTAAAAAGAATATTTTTCTCTGTCCCACTCTAGCATGCACCTATAATAATCCCCGTTTTTACCGTGTATGGGAGTAGGTTGCCAGTGGTGCACCTTCAGCACTGTCACCTATGTTCATGTTGCTTTGGAGAGGCAAATAACTTATGATTGCTGGAAAACACTCTTCCATTGATTCTTTATTCAGATGTATAGAGCAGTCCAGGAAGGAAGAATATTTTTGCATCAACTTTTCAGCTGACTTAGCAATAAAGATTTTTACTTTCATCTAACTATATATTCTGATTCTGTTACTGCACTGGAGGGAATTTGTGCAATATCCCAAACAAATATAGCTGTGGTTAGCAGTAGCTGTGCTGTAGGCTCTCCTTCATTGAGCTGTGTGTGCTACTTCACTCAGCAGCCTTCCATACAAAAGCTACTCACAGAACACTGTGAGGGCGGAATTCATAATACCAATTATTAGGCAGCTTTCTGTATCCTGCCAGAGGAATCCTGCCCTGTGAACTTGCTCTAAATAGTACTGTACAGCTCTAGAAGCAGCTACAGCAAGTAGGAAACACAGAATCACTAAAAGCAATGGGACCACAGTGGGCTGTCCACATAAATCCCAATGCTGAAATAATGCGACTAGCTACTAAAAGGGAGAAGTCAAAAAAAAAAAAAAAAAAACAACCCACAAAAACCACAACAAAACACCAGAGTCCCCGGTGTGTTCCTATTTAGCATTTTTTTTACTTTTGTATCTTTAGTTCCAACAATGTTCCATGGTTTTGGTAATTGTGAGGATTTAATCACTGGTGCCAGTGAAGCTGGAGATATATCCAAGACAAAGCATGTTTCTAGTATGTTTAGTTTGGTGTTTGGGTTTGGGGTTTTATGGGGGGTTTGTGGTTTTGGTTTTTTTTTTTTTTAATATGGGCAGAATGGGTCTCTGAGACCAGTGGTGGTTCCATCTTCATATGGACAATGCACACAGTGGGCACTGCTCTGAAGTGACATTTTATTCTGAGGCATGATTTTGTGATTCTAGTGCTACTTTTCTCTTCCCTGTTAAGTTTCCTATAAAAATTTTTTTTTAAAAAGTAAATTTCACCCTTTTTTTTAAAAGAATAAATAATACAAGAGCGATATCTTATTTCCCCAACTTGTACATTAAAACTTTATTTTGAAAGCAATATACTCCTATCTTAAACCACCTCTTTGAGCTCATAAAGCTTTTGTCTGAGTATCCCAACTCAGGGCATCTTTTTAAGGAAAACACTGTATACAAGTTATAGAAAAGACCATTTCATACAAAGTTGTGCCCTCTTCGGGAGTTTGAAAAGGCACTGTGTCACAAATTGGGCGGAGTGTATTCATAATTTTTCAAGTTTATTTCTAGATTCTCTGCTGGCTCTATAAATACCATGTTCAAACTGCCCTGTTACTACCATGAGACCTACAAGAAAGCAATAATTAGCTGCCATGACCACGCGCCTCAATTGTTCATTTTTAAGAGTTCTGTTCTCAGCAAACAGTCACACACCCCCACTGGAGGTGAATGAGGCACTGGACAGGGGGAGGCAGGGGGAAGGCTGCCTGGGAACCAGTTAACTACACCAGGACAGTCATTCTCTACTAGGGGAGCCACCAGACCAGCCATCGGACTAACTTGGTGCCCACTAATAATTCAATAATGCAAATCCAAGTTAAGAAGAGCTTGACTCTACCATATTTAGAGCTCTACTCTCCCAGCGTGTGTTCTGCTGCAGCATTACGGATGCGCTGCCCAGAAGCAAGGAAAAGCACGCCGCTTCGTCTCAGTAAGGAGGCTGGCAAAAATCATGGCTGTTCCTGGAATGCAGGAATCATTCTAAAGCTCATATGATTCTACTGGCTTCTGTTTCAGTTTGCGAACTGTCCTGTACCCCCTGACAGCTAGGCCTGCGCTAACCAGGTATGCCACGACAGCTACGCTGCCCCAGAGGCCAGCAGCGATCTCTGCCCCGTGCAGGCTGCACCTGAAGCCCTGATAGCCTTTGCTTTGATAAAGCTGCTCCCTCTCTTTGCACACTGATGAGTTATAAACCCCCAGCAGAAAATGGAAGAAATAGTACAGAGTGGGCACCATGCCAATTGCAACCGCTACGTCCAGGATGCATTCGAGTATCAACCATGCTGGGAAACGCCACGGTAACCCTAGAACACCAACCAAAATGAGCACGCAGGAGAAGACCAGGAGAGACCCTCCCACGGCCATCGCCGCCCTGGCAATCGGCAGCTTGAGCAGGTAGAAACGCTGGTCGAGCTGCTGCGCCTTCTCCCCGTCCGCTCCGCTGAAGCCGCTGTACGCTCCGCCGTAGTGGTAGTAGTAGATGCCCCCCAGGCCGGGGAGGCCCGTGTAGCCTCCGGTCGAGCCGTAGGACACGGAGCTGCAGACCAGGATCAG